AGTAGTCCCTTCTTTCACTTGGGTGTTTGTAAACCCTAGCTACAATTATGTGAATTCTTGTATGAATTGAATGATTTGTGTGTGGTTGTGTTTTAATGTGAATGTGGAGGTATTATTCAGAAATGATTGTGTTGTGTAAAAACCTATCAATCTAATTGTCATTCTAACCTATCTTAGAGAGGAGACCTCCTTAGGTTAAGAGGCTAGATTTGAGATGGGTGTTCTTGGGAGTTTCATGCCTCCTAGGCTAGTTTAGAGAGGAAACCTCCTTAGGTTAAGAGGCTCAATTTGAGATGGGTGTTCTTGGGCATTTCATGCCTCCTAAGCTAGTTTAGAGAGGAAATCTTCTTTACCCAAAGAGGCTCAATTCGAGCTGGGTTTCATTGGGCATTCAATGCCTCCTAAACTAGTTTAGAGAGAACCCTCCTTAGTCCTTAACCTAAGAGGCTCGTTTCGAGATGGGTTTCCATGGGCATTCAATGCCTCCTAAGCTAGTTTAGATAGAACCCTGATTAACCTAAGAGGCTCTATTAGAGATGGGTTTCCTTGGACATTTTACGCCTCTTATTCTAGGTTAGTTAAAGGGAAAACCTCATATTTCGCATTAGCACTTAGGGTTTGGTTGTGGGTGGTCGTCCGAACTCCAATTCAAGGGTGAAGTCTAACCATTCCTTAGTTGATAGGTTGAGAGGGTCACATTAGTGGCTTGGATTGTATCTCATTCCTCAACCTAGAGGCTAAGAGGGTAGCTTTGGCTGCTTGTTAGACTTCCCTACCATTTATGACCCCCTAACCACAAACGGTCGTTTGATTCTTCAAGTCATCATTGTTAGCTAGAGGGAGCAACACCCAGGTGAAGCTTTCTCAACTAGTGTTAAATCCATTTTACCTTTGCAAGACAATTTAGTTTTAGACCTTTCTTTTATCAAAACTAATTCGCTAGATAATGTTTCAAACAGTTGAAGTAGCTGTACATGGACCGGCCCGGGTCGATATTTAAACATACTTCCCCTATATTGCACTCATCTAAGATTTATACTTGGACCTTAGGTGGGATTTTATTGTGATAGTGAGAGCGAGTCACATCCCATCCTATGGATTGGTTAGAACTCTCTCCTATTTAAGGCAGAGCAATGAACATGTATTAAAAAAAATCAAGATTTTTAGATTGGATGGTTGTAACTTGTAAGTTGTGCCCATAAAGAAGGATCATTTTATATTATTAATATTACTGAAGTAAATTGATGTCTAGAAGATGACTTTATCATTATTGATGAGATTGTGGCTCATATAATGATTTGTTAATTGCTCATTATTGTAATATATTTACTAGGGGTGGGCATTAGGTGGGTCGGGCGAATTTTGACCATAAAAACGCACCCACATGCAGCTAAACTATTTGATAATTTTTTACACAGCACCCAGCCACATTTAGTCTCGGTTGGGTTGGGCGGATGGTGGATGATGCGGATGGGTTTGTGGGTTTGCCCACATCACAATGTATTTAATTATAATATAAAAGAGTCAACTTGACATGATTAGCGGTGGAGAGAGTTATTGGGCAAAAACAAGATGGAATAGGGGGGGGGGGATGTCGAATTAGTTCTGAAATTGGATAGAAATTCTATTATGAAGGATTTTTCTACAGATGGAGATGATTATAATCAAGTGCAGGGAACTAAGAAAAATAATTCAACGGACGAAAGAGATATGATCTAGGGACAAGAATCATAAGAAAAAAATAAAGGGAAGAAGAGGGGACCAATATTTGAAAGGTTGGCTTTGAGGTTCAATCTCCAGTAGCAGCCCTAGTTTCCATCCAACGTGTCCACACTCCTCTCTCCAGTGCCAACGACTTTGTTCTTTTTGTTGTAGGACACCCGCGCACCCGCCCACAACCCACCCGCCACCCGACCAATGGCTCCCAGAGCAACCCGTCACCCACCTACAGACCCAGCCACATAATAAGATTCGGGTCAAATGCGAATGGATCGGCCCAAACCAGCGGGTAATCCGCCTGCATGCCTAGCCCTGATATTTACTACATTCTCACCATGATAGAATCCAATGAAAATCAATGCTTTCCCAACAGAAATCAAATATTCCAAGGTGGTTAAGATAGGGTGCAAAATTTTTGATTATGTACACATGCATAACCATATTTTGGACGATGATTTTAAGTGGAGTCAGATGTAACGAGTGAGATTAAAAGATTTTTTATTTATTCTACTTTGTTTTAATTTGGATTTTAATTTGTTTTCAGAGATGGAATGAGTTCGTTGTGATCTATAAAATTATATATTCATTCCCAATAGATTTTGAGAATTTTTTTTCGTACATCCATACCGCTTGTTTTCACTCAAGTTTTGAAAAATTTTGTCCGGGAAAAAACAAGCTCATCGTGATCTATTGGATCTACACATTTTTTGGAAAAAAATATTTTAGGACCAAATATACCACTCTATAATATCACTCTGGTATTGGTGCTAACTGGTGGTAGACGACGATGAAAGGTTGTAAATGACATTAAGTATTATTCGTACTATCATGTATACAACCATTCTACACTGGTATGTTCATACCATCATGGTATACTTTCATACCACACGGTATAATATTATGTACTATTGAACATTACCACTATGGTATGGAGTGATAATAAATATAAGAAACTGTTTTGTTCCAAAATATATCAAAGTGGATGTTATTTTGAAAAACACAATTAATATGACTTATCTTGAAAAAAAAATTATGACTTTAAACGAAATGAATATAGCTCGTTAAAATTAAAGAAAAATTATTTGTCTACATATAGACATAATTATGTTATTCACTACATCGCTTCCCATTCCAGGCAAGAAAGCCGTCTCCACCTCACACATGATTAGGGATGGCAATTACTCATTCATGGGTAATTATACCCAAACCCAAGTAGACCCATTGATAATGGGTTGGGTATGGGTGAAGTGCATATGGGTTTGGGGGTTTGTAGATGGGTTTGGTTAAGGTATAAGTATTGCTTCCATAATCTAAATGGGTATGGGTTGGATATGGATATCCATTTACTTGAGGGTGCTTTAACTACACATGCAAAAATTGGACCTATTTGTAAAACTTGAAAATTTTAGATACCAAAATGTAAGACAAAAAAAATTTAGGTACCAAAACGTAATTTTCCATCGATATTTTGAGGACTTATATGCAAAAAAAATTAAATTTAGGTACTAAATATGCATATCTATTAAGTTTAGGTACTAAACTGTAATTTGTATTTGGGCATGGGTACAAACCCAAATCCATTTGTTATAAACCCAACTCAACCCAAAGTAAATGGGTATGGGTACAAACCCATCAAAATCTACTTATATCCATCTATTTAGATTTCATACCCAACCCAACTAGGTTGGATAGTAAAAAATCCATGCGTATGGGTAACATTGTCATTCCCACACATGATTACATGATTGACACAGAACTCCCTTTCTCCGACAATACTGGACCAGGAAGGCCAACCCCAATACCAAGGACTTTCCATTCCATCTTCCAAATTACATAGAGATCATCCACAAATTCTATGTTGGATGGGACTAAATTTAGCAAGAGTCTTTTGTCATGCAATCATTTGGCAACTATGAATTTGTCCAAGGATCTCACGAAAATAGCCATCCAAAAGGACCTATATATATCCACCACCACAACCTCTTGCCAGGATCTATTGGTATTAAATCAGCATTATTCTTGAAATAGTTCATAATAGAGCTCAAATATACTCTTTCTCAAGGAATCGGCTTTTCAAATCTTTCCAAACAAAGCCTCCACTCCCCAGTGACATTATGGGCAATATCAGTACACTTGATTCCATGAAAATCACCAACCCCATGACAAAATGTCACTGTATCACTAAGTCCCTAAACCCTGGCTTTGTTTTGACCGGAAGTTAGCTAAATTCAGAAGCACTTGTTTATTAGCGTACATTTCGATTAAATTAGGGTTCAACGTGTCAAGAATAGTAGCTTCTAATAACTTGAGTGGTTAACAGAGACTTAATAGTAGATTTTATATCATTCAATTAAAATCATCTCAAGTGAAAATTATATACCATCATATAGCATATGTGTGTTGAAATCTAGTGTTAACATTCCGGTCCTCGGCAATCACATAAGAGACATTTGATCAAATATTCTGATATAATGGCAAGAACCAATTATTCAAAATAACTCGAATTGGTAGGAATAGCCTTCCTGACAACATGGTAGAATCTCAAAATCTAAAACTTCTAATTAAACTATGCGAGTTCTCATTGTCACATCTCAACCACATATATGTATGTTTGAAGATTCATTTTTAGATTAGATAATATAAGGTGGTTCATCCAGAAAAATAGTGGTGAATTTCTCTGAAAACTAGTGATTTGAAGGGGGGAAAGACTAACGTCATTCTCAAGATAGTAATCGCTTTCTTTTTTTTACAATTAAAATTATTTAAAACACGAGACATAGGCACCTAATTAGTGGTTTGGATGAATGGTTAATTTGCTCTTTTTTTATGGTTGGTTGGTTAACTTTCCTGGATGTATGGAAACATCTGATTTTGGGCTGAATGTTATCGGAAGAAATATCAAAATGGGCCAGAACAGATTTTGCTACGTTGGACAATCAACTTAGCCCAATGGACCAGGAAAGCCGGCAACTGCTTCTCCTACTCTCCCCTAAACAGAATCAGATATTTAGGAGCGGTTTGGTCTTTGATATTGTGTAGTGAGATTGTTATCTATGTTTGGACTTTTTTACTGGCAAAATACGTACAATTATGGTTTGTAACCAATATATTTATAAATATCAAAATATCCATTTTCGTTCATTCCGTTAACTACGTCAGTTACTTGATGACTTGCCAGACAGTGGAAGTTTAATTGGCGTGTTTCTAACCCCACTGAATGACGTGGATTAAAAGAGAAAAAAAATTAAAAAACCCTAAAAACCACAAAACGAGTATTGGCCTTCCATTTCTCAACTTTAATCCGTCTTCTCCCCTTCCCTTAATCTCTCTGTTTTCAAACCACGACGGATGGTGAGACTAAAAATCCAACCCAGAAAGAAACACGCCCGATAACCATCGATCCTCCTCAGATCGACCCCTCCACCCCCAAATAACCCTACCCCAAGCCTAGATTTCGATTCCAACCACAATCTCCAACCATCGCCTCCCTTTTACTCCGACGGCTTACATGCAGTCGTCACTATGGTGATACCAAGCTTCAATCTCAAACAAAAAAAAAACTTGAATCTAACCAAGTCGCCAATAGAGAAGACTGCAACAACAAGGTCTAACAGATAACTGTGGAGGTAGATGAATCCCAAACTCAATGTCGCCTCCGCGCCCAGATTTCACTTCGACCACGTCACCAGAGCGGGGAACAGCAGTCCCAATCTTTCACGAGAGCAACAGCGCTGGATCTGAAGTCGTTCACTCCGCTCTTCGAATTCATTGCCGCTGGATCTCCCGCCACGGCGGGGAGCTCCAGCCCTGAACCTGGCGACGGAGGATCTGGGTACAGAGCCGCTTTGGGGGGGGGGGCAAAGGGGAGGTGATTTTGGCGGCGGTCGTCGGGGAAGAGGCAACGAGGAGGAGTTGGGAGCCGAGCTGGAGGTGGTCACCGGTTCTTGGAATATGCAGAGGTTGCTAACAGAGAACATAAACAAAAATATGGATTTGCCCAAACCCACATCTCACCTCTACAAGAACATTCAGGTCTGTGTAATGGGTCACGACCTACATGAGTGCCCAAGCAGCGAGATCTTATTTTGATTTCAAAACAAAGATGAACCCTAATTTTTTAAGTTTGGGGGAATGGTGAAGAGCCCGACGGGGTAAAACAAGGGAAAAGGGTTTTTTCATTTTTGTTTTTATTCAACTAGCCTATTTGACATCTATGTGTAAAGTTTGGTTGCGTTTTGACTTATGTGGCAGGTGAGATGGCATCGATTTAACATTCCGTTAGTCAATTTAACGTCGTCTGACATGTTGTTATAGTTTCAGACGGAAGTGGATAGATTTGTCACACAACCTTGCGATTTTTGGATATTTCGTGTATTTTGTTAGTTGTGGATATATTTGTCACAAACCTAATAGTTGTGGATATACAGCTGCATTTTGTCTTTTTAGAATGCATCATGATTTTTATTTTATGTACATAGAGTACATATATATGATATATTGTTTCCTTTGATGTAAAAAAAATTTGGTTGAAATTGTTCTCTTTATTGTTTCAATTTTATCGTAGTCAGAATTATTTAGTTGAAAATTTTCTCTTTATTTTTCTATTTTATCTTCTTTGAAATGTTCTCTTGCATAGAAAAAGGAGTGCATGGGACAGCTTTTTTTTTTTTTTGCGAAAAAGATCACTTGTATTACTAGGACTCAATGAAGTTACACCAACCCGACTTCCGAGCCCAGCCACGTTCGAAAATCAAAACCATAACCCCCTTGTAAGAAACAAATCTATGACTTTTTTGGCCACCAAATGGGTCATCCAGTTGCTCTATCTACCTATAAATTTAACGTTGAATCCGGGAACACGTCGAGAAGCTGGCAAACTTTGACCAAAATTGCATCGGCCCGCGCATCCCTGGTGATACCTGTAAATTACTTTGTCAACCACCACCTTGGCATCCTCGATGAACTAAAAACTTTGAAGCCCTACCCCAGCACATCACCAAATTTCATCACACAACGCCATCAGGTCCATCAGCATTGCGTCAAGCAAACCATCATCAATTGATCCTTTCGCCATAAGAACCCCTCCTACGACATCCCGAAGAACGAACCCCACCTATCCATGGGACTCAGGGCACATTGCCCCATCAAATGAACACACGAAACCCTCCCCCCCCCCCCCCCCACACACACACACCGAAGTCTCCGACTCCCCTATACTGCCTCGCACGTGCAACCGGAACAATAAGCACTGACCCCCACTAGTGGTGAGAAGACCCATCCACTCCTTCACTTGAAACTTCAACTGCCTTTCCAACACACTGAACAACCCTATTGACAATCAAAGGCAACCAAATTCCTAGAAGTCCAGATTCGTTAGAGAAGGCATATGAATCAAACAACCCTAGATGGAGAAGAATCTCGTTCCAAGAATCGACAGAAGAAAATAGCAAATGAAACTCCCTGTAAGGCTTCTAAATCCCCCATCAACCTCGATATCCCCCACAAGGCCTTCTCCACTGGGCAAGAAAGAAATAAATGTTCTATCGTTTCTTCCAACCTTTCCCCCCTTGCACCCGCAAACCGGACATCGAGGTAACATCGGGACCTTTTTAAGAATCAAAGCCTCCATTGTTGGAAGAGTTTGTTGCAGTAATTACGCTCGACCCTCAAACTTAACAAACCACCTCTTGGTAGATTAAAATGATTGATTTTATGGTTGACCTTTTACAAGAACAACAACCTCGATTTGTTGCCTATTCCGATCGACCTCTATAATAGTCCAGTCGAACTCATAGAAACTAGAAAGTCATGCACCTTCTGAAATCTAACAAACTACCATAGAAAATCTGAAATTCAATCGACAATCATAGTAGCAAGAAATCATATCTTCCTAAAAGTTTAACCATTAACATCAATACACAATAAACACACCTCATAGTAGTTCACACATATCTCCAATCCAAAACTACAACGACTTAATCTTAATCCACAAACATAGTTGCTTTAGACCAAATCGTCTTACAAACTTAATAAATCAAATCAAAATAAATAAAAATCATAATGCAATTCACAGAGTTCCTTGATCTCTCATCTCACTCGTCTTGATTATCCCCATTGGTGCTACTAAAATTATGGTGCTCGGATGTGTTGGGATACATGTACTTCCACTAAATTATCCAAATTCTTCTCGCATCTCAGTACAGTCACATGAAGCATATTCATCTGGTTGGATATATGTCTCATATAATCAATCATGTCAGTCATGCAATCCTATATAGCATTGAGGGTGAATGGTGGAGTTGAATCTTCTGCCTACACCATTGGTTCGTCTTTGAGCTCTACATTTGTCGCATCATTTCTTCATTAGTCTCTTCAACATCACTAGTTTCCTCAATTGTTCCCAATATGTATGTCATCTTTATTGTCTATGTTTGTTTCTTCATGTTCGACATTCTGAGTACCACGTCTTTTTTTTCTTAGTTATCAGTCATATAAATCATGAATAGTATATTCAATCGACCACATATATTTACCGATAGACCCATTTTATCAAAATCAGGTTAATTTGCAAGTTATTATAGCAAAGTCTTAATCTTCTAGATTAAAGTTCGAATCCCCCAATCATATAAAGAGGTTCTGGGCGAGCACCCCCTCCGTTCCCTTTTCCCTGGCTTATGCGCAGAGTTCGGAAGGGGCTTTTAGTCCTTTGCCCTTTTATTGTGTTTCATTTTTGCGTTTATATTCGTTGATAGCATGGACGCTCGATGAACGCAAAGAGAAGCGCGAGATGTATCCAACTCCATGAGTACTATTCAAGGGTCCCTGAAGAGTGAATTATGTCCATGCTCGGTAATTACCTCTCGGCTTTAGCTCCGAAGCTCCTCCGCCGAGAAATCTGTTTCAAATTAATTCTGATCGTTTACTTTGCTAATCGAAAGATTGTATATCCATCAAAAGCAATTGGCAGTTTGGTTTGTCAATGGAAGAATCTTGTATCCATCAAAAGCATTCAGTTTAAAACTAACTAGAAAAACACTCGCGCTACGCTGCGGATGATGAACGACCCGGTGAAATTTGCATTTGCGGTTTAATTTTGTATTTATATTATCAAATATTTAATTTTCTCTTGACATTCAATCATTATTCATAATTAGAAAAAAGAAAAAATGGTAATTAGACTATATAAAAAAGATGGTAGCAGTGGGTTTCTCATGCCCACGGTTTCTTTAAATAATTAACCCAACCCTAATCGGTCAGAATGTGTCACGGGTTGGTCCATATAGGATCACATTGGACCAAACTGACTCTTGGACCGGATCACACCGAATCGAATATATTGTGATACGATCCTCAGTCTTATAAATTTTATAAATACTGAAGAAAATTAACTGAATTAACTTTTGGATTGGACCAAACCAGACAAAATCGGATGAAATACACTATTGCTCCGATCTTTGATCCTAAGATGCCTTGCATTATTGAATAGCAATTTTATGATAAATCTACATATTAAAAGAATAAAAAATAAAATGATACAATTTAATAGAAACTAAAGAAAGTGAGATTTAAATAAAAAAGTAAGAATTGTCTTTGAAAATTCTCTCTAATACACCTTTGTTAATTGAGATATTAAATGAAAATTTTTCTTAAAGATTAGTATATCGAAATTGGAATTTGATCATAGCATAATAGAACCCTATAACAAGATTAAGATGTATAAATTTGGGCCTTCATAATTGTATAATGGAGCCCAAAACCCTACAACACCATTTGACTATGAGTGAAAAAAAAATATTATAAATGTTAGAAGTAGGGTTTGAACCCGGGATACAAATAGTACATCATTATTCAAGATTCCCCCAATCCCCAACCTACCTCTGTCCCTGCCCAAAATCCATTCTTAATTTATTGTTAAAAAAATTGACCAATCAGCTAGAGAGTTTAGGCAACATTAACAATATTTCATGTTTATATATATATATATGGTGTCTTCTACGGTACCCCGGGTGAAATACGGGGTACCACATACCTTGAGTATGAAAACGCTATCTAGACCTCGAATTAGTAAGATTTTTGGGCATGATACTATACCCTAACCCTTAATTAGTGAATCCTAGGTCATAATTATATAAATCATAAACTATAAACCTAAGATGGTGCATTGATTTTTTTGCCTATATTTGGACGAATCATAACCGTCGATTATTTTTTCTAATTAAATTGATCTTGGGGTATAAGATTTAGAGAATTAAGACGTAGATTTTGATCTTTAAGGGTTAGAGTATAGTATCATGTCCGAAAGATTAGTCAATTCAAGATCTGGATAGCGTTTTCATACTCAAGGTATGCGGTACCCCGGATTTCACCCTGGGTACCGTAAAACTCGCCATATATATATATAAGGTTAAGTGTTTGAGGCAAATTTTCATATGTGTGACTTTGCTAATTAATTAATTTTTAATAAGTTAATTTAGTTTCAAAATATACTTTAAAAAAATCAAATATTTTTCAGTTATAACTTTACTTTTCAATCGTAACTTTGGATTTGAGATTTTCCATAGACCATATACAATATATAAAATTTAACGTTGTTAATGAGAATTGATATGGGCAAGGAGATTTATGAATAAAATTATAAGTGATTGTCTAATTAATTATTAGTTTATTTCTCAGTTTTTCTTTTATGTATTGGTTCTCTCTTTGATCGATGAAATATGTATCACAATTCCTATCTAGAGACTTGAAGTTATAATCACTAGCTAGATAAATTTTTTCATGAAATCTTTTTTTAACAACGATAACAAAATTAAGATATCTAGAGACTTGAAGTTATAATCACTAGCTAGATAAATTTTTTCATGAAATCTTTTTTTAACAACGATAACAAAATTAAGAGATCAGACCACCTTAAATCTAGGTTTGTGATGTATAGTTATCTTTTACCATAGCGGCAAATAGACAACTCCATTTTTTTCTTCATACTTTGCATGGTTTTGATAAAATATTAATGGGAAACCTATATTAGTGCAATGATAATTCTTATCAAAACTTCATTTCACACTGACATATTATTTTGTTCTTCTATGAATATTTCAATATTATTTTGATTTTTAAATTAATTCATGCGGTTATTAGGTATTATTATTTTATGCTTGAAATATATATTCACCTTGGAGAATCATCTACTTGACAAAATAGTGTTCCAATACGATCTTCAAACAACCAAGTAAAAACGATGGAATCTCGATGCATAACCTCCTTTAGTTACAGCTGGCACAAATCTCAATATAGTCCAGAGTTTTTCAATTTCTCTCAAATTCAACGGACTATATCTAATCTGTTTCGTCACCGATTTAAAAAAATTGGGTTAAAAAACCATCTTAATAAAAACTTGTCAAAGAAAAGTTGAAGAACACTATAATGGGTAATTTTATAAGGTTTATACAACAATATCAAAGACAATAGTAGCTAAGTAATAATTTACCTCTACTCTTCTGTTGTTTTCAACTTCAAGGTCATTCATTCAAGAGAAAGCAAAATATCCACTAAAACAAAATATTTTCGACCAAATAGTGTATCTCATTTGTTGTTATTTTATAGATTCAGGACTAGCTACAAGTTGTAGACAACATGGTTTAATATAACTTTATATGTTTGTATAGCGAGGGAGCTAGATTTTTGGAATGTATACTGAGAAACTACTCAAAGGTATTGACAAAATGAAAGAACTTTCACTTCATCATCGCATCTAAACTAAGAGCATGAAGTTAAATTTTCATATCAAACTCCCCGATTACAACATCGCGAACCCCATAAGTGGGTACATAATTTTTAAGATAATTAAAGATGAAGAAGAGCAATCTTAGACAAGTTCATGACATGTACTTTGTAAATTAAGTTCTTGAAAATTAAGTTTCACAATTCTAAAAATGTTCCCATTAAATTTTTGCATTCAGTGAAATGCAAGAGAAGAAGGAATGATATGCTAATAGCGGAGGTAGTGAATTCAATGATGAAGATAATAACGTTATTGAGACAAAGGAAGAGATTATTGATGGTAGATTTAGAAATTTCAAAGATGGGAAGAAATAGTGAATGGTTAATAATATTTATGATTTGGATGATGTGAAATTCTACTATCGTGAAAAGATGTTTCGCATTTTCAAACATTTGACCATTAAAATTTGGTTTCAGGATAATGCATGGGAAGAAGAAAGAGACTATTGATTATGAATATAAAGTTTCATTAATGATGATGAAGTTGTGTGGAGAAGATGCTTTTGATGGCGGAGCAATAAAAATAAATCCGAAAAGGAATTTGTTGCAATTATAACATCAAAGAGTAAACTAAAGTGCTTTTTGAATATTAAGTTTTTTTAAAATAAATTTTCAACATGAATTGTGGTGTTTCCTTTTGATAAGGACTTTTGTCCATGAATGATCAAGATGTTGTAAAACTTATGTTGTATGTTATTTTTTTTATACTTTTAGTAATGGAATAATTTGGATAATTTCATGGTGACAAATAAAGGATTCTAATAATTACTATTATTATGTATAGTATTGATTCATCCGCCCAACGGCGCGAGCCCAAATCTAGTAAAAGAAAAGCAAACCAAACGGTCGAGAACGTTCCGGAAGAATTCCCAGAATACAGTAAAAATTAAACATAATTCCCAGAATACATAAGTTTTATAAAATTTTCCCAAACTACCCAAGTTTCAAAGGGTTCGAGTCCGATAAACTCGAACTACTCCACAGTTCGACGATGAAGAACTCGAACTAAAATGAGATCGAGTTCCTAAAACTCGAACTACCCAAGTTTCAAAGTAGATCGATGACAAAGGATTCGATAATAGTCAATCGAGTATGGACAACTCGATCCAGTTAGATCGATGCCAGAAACCTCGATGTAGTACAATGACTTTAAGGCACTCGAACCATATCTGCACAAGATCGATGCCTTAAGACTCGAACTACATAAATCGATTCCAATGGGCTCGAACCACTGGTCCACCGACATGCTTCAGGATAGGGTTGCAGGGATAAGATTCTTGGTTGTCACAGATCGAGTTTTAGGGACTCGAACTAGGGTAGTTCGATTACACTGAACTCGAACTACTGCTCAATCATTCTGTCAAGTCGCTTTCGGTCCGACATGCTCCAGAATAGGGTGCAGTGGTAAAATTATTGGTTGCACTAGATCGAGTTTTATGGACTCGAACTAGTGTAGTTCGAGTTTTTTGGACTCGAACCACCTCATTAGTTTACGAGGATAAAAGCCATCACTTAGCACATTCTGGCAGCTCTCTTCCTTTCTATCTTCTTTCTTCCAAACACAAACTGCAGCTGCTGGAGCACCATAGTTGAGCAAAGAAGAAAAATTTTGGAGGTAAGTTTTGCTTAACGTTGTTTGAATGAGCATATTAGAATTTTGGATTAATTTAGTATTGTTTGTACTGTATGTAATGAGCTGCTTCTATAAACTGCAGAAATGGGTAGAAAATTTCGAAAATTCGACTTAAAGATTCGGTGGAATGGTCGAATTACACATTTTCATGATAGTATTGACTACGAAGATGGTGAATCAAGTATTGTCCGGATTGAGAGCATATTTACTTGGCAAGAACTCAGTCATATTTGTGCGGAACGATGTTGCATAGGAGGGCGAAGAGTATGCAAGATGACTTACCGTATGCCGGTTTACAAGGATTATGCACTTGTATATGAAGTATCAGTTTTGTCTGATGATGATGACATTTATATGATGGTGAGATTTATTGCAGAGAACAGATTTCCAACTGCTGAGGTGTATGTCGAGACAGAAGTTTTTGGCCAATATGGTGGCGTCGGTTATACCAAACAAGGTGAAGGATCGGGAGGGTTTTCCGGTTCAGGAGATTTCAGAGTCCTGCATGATGCACCATGGCCAACATACGAGGATCGAACTGCAACTGGTCCATTGGTGGAACATGACGGACAGGAGTGGTCAGTATGGGGTGAAGAATGGGCTTATAAATTGGCCCCAACCATTCAATGGTTTCTATGAACTTTCTATTATTGCATCACCATCGATTGGAAGCTCTGTCAGCATGGCTACGTCCTTCAACGTAATCGTCATCTCTCCCTCTAGAAGGTGGAATGTTTGCGTTTCTTTTCTCCATCTTTCCACCATTGCCGTAAGAAGGTCGTTGTCCATCTCCATCCCCACAAACTTTCGCACCCTCAGCAATCGCGCTCTTTCAATGAAGGGCTCGATACGATCATCCCATTTAGGCAAGCGAGATAGCGACCGATGGGTGATTACGTCAAGTTGTTCCTGTAGAAAAAAAAACATTAATTATTATACAAAAACAAATTAGAAGAATACTATCACATTTAAAAAAAAAAAGTACATGAGGAAGTGCCTACCGGATCTGCCGCCCAAACACTTTCAGACCGATGGTAAGGTTGCTCATCCAACAAATCGGTTTCTCGCGGTCCGCCTTGAATGTATAATCTAGGATCGTAAATACTCGGATCCATCTCGACAATTTTGAGTGATAGAAGTACCAAACTAAAGAAAAAAAATCTAATGCGGAAGATCGGGCTTAGCCGCAACCACAGAGCATATTTTTTTCTTCAAGAGTGGTGGGAGGAAGAGAGGAAGAAGAATGGAGTGGTGTGAGTTTTGGTGGAATGGGAGGGGGTATTTATAGGTTCTGTGGGAGAATGGATCGAGTTTACAAAACTCGAACTAGTGCTTCGATTTTGAGGCACTCGATCCGCGTCAAAAGGAGTTCGTGGTTAGGCGCATCGAACGACCCAGATCGAGTTTAGGGTAATCAATCAACGGTAGATCGAGCCTGACATCAGCGATCCGCGTCAAATTGATCGATTGAAGGGGACTCGATCTACTGCATCGAGTTTCACCCACTCGATCCGCGTCAACCATGCTTCGCGGATTTGGCAATCGAACGGCCTAGATCGAGTTAAGAGTACTCGATCGACGCTAGTGCGCGCCTGACGTCATCAATCCGCGTCAATCAAATCGATTAGCGCTGACTCGATCCACTTACCTCGAGTTTAACACACTCGATCCGGGTCATCATTGCTTTGCTGGTTGAGCAATCGAACGACCTTGATCGCTTCCCGGTAAATCGATCTAGGGTGGAGCGCTGCACAGGTCATCGATCCAGGTCTTGCTGTTGGAGTTTCCCATCCTCGATGCACGTGGATTGATTTTTTGGCAGTCGATCATGTACTAGCTCGAGTTTGGTAAACTCGAACCGTGTCAAACTTTGGTAGTTTGGAAATTTTTTTAAAAGTTATGTATTCTGTGAATTATTTTTAATTATTACTGTATTTAGAGAATTAATCCGAACGTTCCTATTTCTTACCTAAACTAATTTGGAGTTACAAGAAAATAAAGAAGAGACAAAAAAAAAACGTGAGTCGGAGCTCGGAAGCTGAATTTCAGGTGCAGTGCCCACACGCTTTCTCCCCTGGATCCATCCTATGGCGTGGCAGAATCTGATCCGTTAAATTGGAATCGACGTTCCAAAATTCATTCGATTGTTCGCTTACAACGCTACGATTTCCCCCTTTTACTGCCGCGAAATCCAACCGACTGCCAGTACTATATTCCTTCACTCATCGCAGCAGCTGGTCACTCTCCCCCACCGAGCGGAACCTTCTCAGATGAAGCAGCAGGGAACATGGCCACCGAGATCGGACGGTCACCGTTTCCGCTCATTTCCGATGCCAGAAACCAGACTCGAGCGTCGTAAATCCGCCGCGGGGCCGCCTGGACACAGTCAACGGCCGAGGCGGATCGAGCCGAGGTCGTCGTCCACTTCGAAGGTGGAGGATCACGGATTCGCGGCGCTCCCATTCGACATCCTCGCCAGAATCGCGGCGCCGTTCACGCTACCCAACCTCCAGGCTGCGTCGCTGGTGTGCAAGTCGTGGAGCGAAGCGCTGCAGCCGTTGAGGGAGGCGATGCTGCTGTTAAGGTGGGGGAAGCGGTTCAAGCACGGGCGAGGAGGGGTGAAATCGGATTTGAACAAAGCGCTGGATTCCTTCCTGAAGGGGGCAGCTCGAGGGTCGAGCTTGGCGATGGTTGATGCCGGGCTGGTTTATTGGGAAATTGGGGAGAAGGAGAAGGCGGTGGGGTTGTATCGGAAGGCGGCGGAGCTCGGCGATCCTGCGGGGCAGTGTAATCTCGGGATCTATTACTTACAGGGTAACAATTAAATTCGAATTATCTCCCAATTTGGTTGTTTTTCTGAAAGGCTTCATTGTGTGTTGACTATCTGCCCGCCAACTGTTTGTGATAATTACTGAATGGGGTTTTTGCGCAGCTAAGCCGCCAAACGAAACAGAAGCCGTGAAATGGTTGTTTCGAGCTTCAATTGGAGGGCATGTTCGTGCTCAGTATCAACTCGGTCTGTGTCTGCATCAGGGTCGTGGGGTCGAAGGCAGTCTTCAGGAGGCAGTAAGGGTTATTGATTGTTGCTTTCTCATATTGAATTAAGTCACTTTCGTCTTTTTAGTAAACATATGAATGCAAGTTTCCATTTTTGTGCAGGCTAAGTGGTATCTAAGAGCTGCGAGAGGTGGGTATGTTCGAGCAATGTACAATGTTGCGCTGTGTTACTCGGTAGGAGATGGTTTATCCCACAATCATCATCAGGCAAGGAAATGGATGAAGCGAGCAGCTGATCATGGCCACAGCAAAGCTCAGTATGAGCACGGACTAGGCCTCTTCTCCGTACGTTTTTTTTTTCCTTCTTCTTTTTGCCCCTTCCCTTCTCTTAATAATTGGTGTGCATTGGGATTCAAGCTTTGTATCTTTGTGCTGATTTGGAAGAACAACACGTGGTGTTTGTTTTGAGTGGCAGGAAGGAGATATGGTGAAAGCCGTGGTTTATCTGGAACTGGCAACTCGGGCAGGTGAAACGGCAGCAGCACATGTCAAGAATGTGATCGTCCAACAACTGCCCGTTAGCTCACGCGAAAGGGCCATGGTTCTTGCGGACAGTTGGCGTTCAATCTCTGCTTCATCGCATTGAGTTGAGTTAGTTGGGATGGCAGGCTCGGCCATTCATCATCATCCATGGTCCGTATTAATCCCTCTCCCCTTCCGAATCATGTTTTTTCCCCGCTTTTGTTTCCAGTCTGTTTCCTTTTAAGTCAGGATAACTGAACTTATAATAAATTTTTTAGGCAGTATTCAGACTGTGGGTTTGTTTTAGAGCACAAGGTTTTTGGTGGAATAATGGGAAGAATTTGGTGGAGTAATAGATAATAAATAATATTCCATATGAACATATGTTTGGTTGAATTGGAATTCTCGCTAAAATGGAAAGTCCTGGAATAAAGAGTCCCTAGAAAACAGGTGTGTTTGTGTGATTCCAAAAATTTCTATTATTTGCAAGTGATCTCTTTTGACGGGTTTTGCTTGTAATGTGCCTTGTGCTTAGAGGTTGTTACAATTTCTCCTCTCTTGAGGGGTTGTTCGGCAAGTATTTACTTTGAGATACATGAATTTTTTAGAACCCTAGTCTCTTGTTGGCTGGATGTAAGAATTTATGTAATATTGTTTGCGAGGGTTCTAATACATTCTTGATTGCTATAACATGATACCATGTTTTGTAATATTACATGATGTGCGAATTACATGTTTTCATGATAAAGTGAACAAGAAAAACGATGCAATACAAAATGAGTATGAATTCTGAAAATCGGCAGCAGAATACATACATTTTCAGACTAGTCCGGATAAAATAAAAAAGGGCATCATATTGTAGCACTTAGAAGTTAATGAGAAACGAGAATCAAGAAAATCAACTCAATTGGGGATTTATTTTGGGTAGCCAAACTTATGTAACTACCCATTGGGGGATCTCAAAATATTGTCTGATAAAATAAATGTTTGGCCTTACAGGTGGTTCTGGAACGTGTAGGGTGAAGAGCGTCCGCCCTGATTGGAAAGTGAGCTTGATTTTCAGTTGGCCGTCTAGCAGAAAGCCAGCTCATCATTTTGCTCCTCTTCCAGTCCAGTGGAGAGCAATCAAATTATTATTGTACAGAATCTGTGGCCAAAATGCCGACGACAAGACAATATCCCGCTCAATCCTCTCTCAGCCCTTTGATTGATTCATCTCTCTGGTGGCCTGATGATAATACGCATTGGATACGCTCTTGAATCAGGTTTTGAGCTGGCGCCTTTATGTTATTGTCTCGTCCCACTGGTTTTGTGTGTATGTGATGATGATAGTCCAGAGTAATCTTCAGCTTTGGTGTCTTTCTTCTTTTTTCTTGTCTCATAATAACATTAGAGACGTCTATATTATATGTTTTACAATAGCCATGAATATGTCCCCGACCCCGAGTTGTAGTTTCCCTTCCCCTTGTACGTAACAACAGAATCATGCATGTTTCGTTACTCAATAGAGTAGAAGAAAGCTTCTCTTTCGCACATTTGAACAGCTATTGCGTTCAAATTTAACTGTGAAGAATTCTCGGAAAAACTATTGAATAACATCAACAAGCGCTGATTGCTCATCGACTGCATTTGGCCTTTAGAATGGCTGGCTGTACTAACAGTCACATTCCCAAATTGTTATCGTTTCTTTGGTAATGTAATGGCTCTTGTTGCAAAGACGGCCGTTTTCAAGGGCCCCCGCAGCTCTGCAATTTGCGGGCGTATTATTTGTAGCCATGTGTCGTGTTGAATCTTTCAGAAATTAGATAAACAGACAAATTTGATGAATGTTGGGACGACTTTTGTTGAGCCACCAACCAAATGGTCCCAACTAACCAAACTCTACAATTGAATACGTATATAATGGACTCACTCTTTTCTCCCAACCCCTCCATTATCATTCTGTATTATGTTCCTAAAATCAAACTCCAAAAAACCACTGTAATCATCTAACTAACTATGAACATCAACTAACACCTGTAACATTTTTTTTACTGCAAATCTAACCTCAGTAGTCGGAAGAAAACTAATTCAAGACTCTTGCTATATGACGAAGGTCAGCCGTTGAGAATGCGGTCCACGGTGGTAGAGATTGATATGGTAAACAGCTTTAGCAACCAACTCTCTCAACTCAGGGTACTGAGCCAGCACCATTCTATCCACTCCTTCCAGCGCCGTCAGCACACGAGCGGGCTCCAGCGCCTCGTGATTCCCGGCATTCACCGCCAGGTAGCACAGCAAGATCAGCGCTCTGAGCTGCGCCCTCTCGCTCCCTCTCAGCAGCTTCATCAGGGCAGGAATGGCATTGAACTCGATCATCGTCTTGGAATGCGCTTCGCACAGGAAATTCTCCTCGCATGTGAACTTGGCCAGCGCGATTGCAGCCTCCGCCGCCACTTCCTGGCTCCTGTTGTTCAAATGGTTGACGAGGGGACCGATCACGCGAGTCTCCCTCGCTGGGAAAGTCCGCGCCACCGACCCGATCGACTGGAGAGCGGCAACCAGGAGCTTAGGACTGCTGGATCCTTTGATCACTCTCAACAACTGATCCACTACAGCTTTCGCTGCTGGCGAATTTGCCTTGAAAGCAGCGCGACGGAGATCAGCATTCGACTCGGCAGCAAACGTGATCTCTTTAATCGTCATCACACAGTTGAACTGCAACTCTGGTTCTCCAATCTCCACCAATTTGGCCAAGCAGAGCAGCCCTTTCGTCTCGGTGATTCGCTTGCTATTCGACACGCTCCCTTTCGCCAGCATCCATAGCGCTTCAGCACAACTCATCTTCAACTTCTGCTTCACCTCCCAACTCTCCTTCTCCCTCTCTTTCCTAGTCCCTCCCCCCTTGCTCCCTCCCCCACCATCGGAATGGAAGCTTGAAAATGAACTAGCAAATGGCCGATATTGCACACTATCCCTGTCTTTCTCCTTATTGTTGCTTCTCATCTTTGTCTCTCCCACTTTCTCCATTTCCTTATTCATCTGGACTAGAGAATGAATTGATTGCTTACCCATTTGACCACCGAATTGGTCATCAGAGAATGTCTCGAATGATAGTAAAGTCACCAAGGGGCGGATTACGTTCTCTCTGGCGAAGTAGTCCTGAGCGCCGGAATCGTTCTCTGCCATCACGGCCACCAATCTCGCCACCCAAATCTGAACCCTCATAGGAGAATCGGCAAGAACTTTGACGATTGTCTGGACTCCGGCTGTGGATTCTTCCGAAATCGCTCTCACTCTGTCCCCGTCGTTGCACAAGTAGAACAGTGCCACAGCAGCGGCGATTTGGGCCTCGGGGGAATCTTTCTCCTTAATTAGTTTCAAGAAGGGCGGCACGCCGCCTTCCTCCACTATAATCTGCTTGTTTCTGTCGTTGTCTTTGGCTAACGAAGCCAATTGATTCGCCGCTTCGATTTTCTCCGCCATGGGAGCCATGTAAATCGAAGTGATCCCGACCCACACCCAGGCGACGATTGGGTCGTTGCTGGCGATGGGCGGGAGCGCCATGGCGTTTCCGTGCGACTCCAGCATGCTCCACAGCCACGTCACGTCCCCAGCGGAAGCTTCCAGATGGACCAGCGCCTTCCGGAAGTCTGCGGCGGAGATCATCGTCACCACGCGGTGGAAAATATTCCGCCGCCTGCACCTCCGTACTAGGGCTAGCGCCCGGTCGAGATTCTTCGCGACCTCCGCGGAAATCCGCCGCACGGGCCGCTCGTACACCGCCTGACCGGGGCTGCTGACGAAACGGACCAGCGAACGGAGCTTGTCGACGATGTAATCGGCCTGCTTCCCGACGGCGCTGCACTCCGACTTGAAGGAATCCGCCTCGTCTACCGCGGCGAGAACCCGCTCGGCCAGTATAATCGGGAGGCGGAGTTCGTCTTGAAACGGCGGTGGCGGCTCTGCTTGTTCCGCACCCCTTGACGGCGGCGGAGACGGGGAGAGGACCATGGCGAGGAGAAAAGGGAAGCAAAGAATCGGTTATCGGAGAAACGATGGGCAGAAGAGGTGATTTCTGTCTTTCTTCTTCAGTCAATTGATGTTCAAGACTCGGTTGGTTCGGTTCTTTCTTCGATCGAGTTTTTCTTTTTCTTGTGACGTTTTAGCGTTTATTTAATTTCATTCTTTTGGCTGGAAGAAGGCGCGTGCATGAAGAGGGGCGCGTGGTTACTATCGTCAGGTAGAGTTGGGGCAAGAACCGGGAACGGGAAGGTTAAAGGAGCGTGTTGATTGCTGCCGCCTGCTGGTGACGAAACTGACTTGGGAGAGAAAGTGGGAAGCACTTGCTTGGAAAGTGCGTGTGGATAGAGACGTGGAAAAGTCCTTTTATCTTTGTGGGTTGGGTTGGGTTGTTATTTTGGTGTGGAGGGTAGGGTCTCAGTGGATGCGTGTGACAGAGACGTTAAAGACATAACCGTCATTCTTTGGAAAAAAATCCCAAGTTACACATGTTTTTAAAAAAAATTCTCAAAATACACATGTTATGAAAAAAATTCCCAATCTACACATGTTTGGGCCTTCACCGCGTCAGAGAAGGGCGGTGATTGCTTCACCGCGTGAGAGAAAAACGGTGATTGCTTCACCGTGGGAGAGCAAAACGGTGAATGCTTCACCGCGTGAGAGCAAAACGGTGATTGCTTCACCGTGGGAGAGCAAAACGGTGAAGCACTGACCTGCGTCCAAACTTTAAAACAACGTAACTTTGTGCTCGGTTATCCGATCGTAGCGAATTTTTTTTTGATTCCGCATAATTTTTCGAGATCTTGCAAGCCGCAAACAGCCGGAGGCGGTTTGGTCCCGCCTTCGTCTCGAAAAAATGTCGTTTGCTACCCCGAACGACCCTTTTTTCGATTTCGTCAAACTTTGAACGACCATAACTTTGTGCTCCACAATCCAAAAATCATGAATTTTTTTTTGATTCCGCATAACTTTTTAAGGACTACAATTTTTAGTAGGAGAGAATTTTCAAAAAATGAATTATTTATGGATATAAGGGGTTTTGGGAATAACTTTACCTTCCCTTTTCAGGAATCCAAGTACATTCCGAAATTATGTCTATGATAAAAATTGTAGTCCTTAAAAAGTTATGCGGAATCAAAAAAAAATTCATGATTTTTGGATTGTGGAGCACAAAGTTATGGTCGTTCAAAGTTTGACGAAATCGAAAAAAGGGTCGTTCGGGGTAGCAAACGACATTTTTTCGAGACGAAGGCGGGACCAAACCGCGGCGGTTTGCGGCTTGCAAGATCTCGAAAAATTATGCGGAATCAAAAAAAATTCGCTACAATCGGATAACCGAGCACAAAGTTACGTTGTTTTAAAGTTTGGACGCAGTTCAGTGCTTCACCTTTTTTCTCTCACGCGGTGAAGCAATCACCGTTTTAGTTTGAAACGGTGAATACATCACCGTTTTAGTCAAAAACGGTGAATACATCACCGTTTTAGTCAAAAGCGGTGATGACCTTCACCGCTTTTGTCTAAAACGGTGATGCTCAAACATGTGTACTTTTGGAATTTTTTTTATAACTTATGTATTTTGGGAATTTTTTTTAAGAACTAGTGTACTTTGGGATTTTTTCCTTATTCTTGTGTTATATTCTGACAAAAAATAGTTAACACTAATTCTTAGCAATTTTTTTCCGCATTCATTTTTTAAGTCAAACATTTTATCAAAATATACTAAGGGCCTGTTTACTTTCATTTCTGTTTTCTGTTTTTGAGAAAACAGATGATGAAAACAGGTGAAAACAACATTTGGTCGTTTCCGAAAACAGCAGGGAGTTGCCACTTTCTGTTTTCATAGTTGGAAACGAATAGAAAACAGAATGAAAAGTAAACAAGTTTTCTCGTTTCGGTTGCCAAATTTATGACATGAAAACAGAAAACAGGAAACGAAAATAGAAGTGAACAGGGCCTAGTTAAGATTTTCATGTTTGTGTTAATAATAGCCAATTTTGGAGAAATACCGATTATAGCCAGCTTTTAAAGTTGTTGCAGGACAATTATTGTCATTTTCGTCAGATACTTTAACTGTGTTATTAACACCGTCAACTTATTTGACGGTTAGCTGATTAGACGCCAACTCAACGAACACGTCAGCTCCAAACAAGCAAATAATGACACGTAAGATATTTTAATATTTACACATCATAAATTAGTAAAAAAATAATTTTTTCCTACCCTTATATCTGCTTCGCATGACCCATCTTCCCCAACTTTTCCCCGATTTCGATTTTAGGGTTCTTTCCCATTGGTGTAAAAACACATCCTCTATTACTGCAAACACTTCTCCTTTTTCTGCCTCCTTTGTCATTCTTCATTTGCGATTTCATCCAACTAAGTTTCCGTTTCCCAGTCTCTCTCTTGTCCTCTCTCTAGGAATTTGCTTCTTGATCTTTGGTTCTCCCTCCCACTTTGTTTGTCTCGATCGGTCTCTTCCGTTGCTGTTTCTCATCTCGCTCAATTAGTAGCAGATCTCCCTTCACAAGCTTCAGGGTGGCAGTGAGAGATTGGGGTTATTAATTCGCTAGAGATTGGGGTTGTTGTTTCGTCGGGGAAGGCAGAAGCTTGTCAGGGTGGTTGATAGTGCGGGGGGGTTTAATCGAGCAAAAATCATCCCATCTTTTCCGCCACTTCATCTTCTTTGCGGGATTGCTTGCTTCACCGAGAGCTCGAGTGAGACAAAGCACCCCCTAATGTTGCCGACAGATGCACGGTGGTTCAAAGCCATGGTCGTCGACGGGTGGTACAGACTTCAGAGTCTCTTTGTTCTCAGTCTGGTGGCGGGGTGGTTCAGTCTCCGGTTGCTTACCTTGAAAAGCCCAAAAACATACCAAAAAGACATAAAAGAATACAAAAATATAACCTAGGTCTATTAAAAGGCCATTGATCAAATAATTATGTTTTAAATATGAAATATATGAAAATATACTAAAGATGCATTTGTGTAAGGGGAAACGTATGAAATATGGGAGTGATAAACACGATAATTTGAGCGTCATCAATGTGCTAGAGGAAAGCAAGAGAGGGTGGAGCAATAAAGAGATGCAATGGAGCGTACTAAACAAGTGAGAGGTGAACGAGCATATGCAGTACAAGAACGTATAGACAGAAACCGTCAACAACATCACTTGTTTGTGGGAAGAAGGATATTCAAATAAACTTTGTTCATAATTGGCATCGAGTAGAGGAAGAGAGGTTCGATGATATGAACATAAAGAAGAAGAAGAAGAAGAAGAAGAAGAACGACCAAGAGATGATATGGGAGGCATCAAGATCTATATTCTAGCATTTAAAGGAAGAAGTGATCCCGATGCTTACCTTAGTTGGGAGAAAAAGATAGAGATAATATTTGATCGGAATGAATACACGGAAAGAAGGAGAGTAACTCTAGAAGCCCTAGAGTTCACTGACTATGCCATAGTCTGGTGCGATCAATTATGTACAGGAAAAAATGCAAGGGAGAAGACCATGTGTCGAGCTGGGGAGAGATGAGGGGAATCATGAGGAGTCGCTTTATGGAAACCTGTTGCAAAAGAGATATGCATCAAGATCTTCAAGCCCTTTGAAAAGGCTATAAAGGCGTGGAAGACTATTACAAAGAGATGGAGATGCTAATGATTCGTGTTGATATTAGAGAAGATCAAGAAGCCACCATAGCTCGATCTCTTAATGGTTAAAACCTGAAGTGAGACATTGATTTTACTTTCTCTTTTATATTTTTTATTTAGAAGCATCCTAAACAATGAAGGAGAATTGCTTTTTACCTATCATCTATATGTTCAGTCGCTTATTTTTTCAATCGTATCCAATATATAACAGTTATGATTTTTGTGAAACTTTTCAGTGTCAAAAAATGCATTTTTCATATATTGACTTGTTTAGTTATCCCCCTACAAGCCTATCATTGCTCATCTTACTTTGAATCGATGAAACTAAGGACTTCACTTGATCTAAGGAGGCCAGTTTAGTGACTATGAAGAATGTGATAGTTAATGAGATACAATGATCTTGTAAATATGTTTTGAATGACATGCTATATGATTCGTTGTAAATTTCTAATTAGGCATTGAGTCTCCACATTTTCAAAACTATTTTTTGTCATAGGGCGAACTAAACTTTCTATCAAATGCAAAAACTACCAAATATATACATGAAAGTATTATTTGTGTTTGCAATGTTATGAAACAAATTTGGGGTAAGCCCAACATGTGAGGGATCTATTTATTGCACAAAAACAAGTTTTGGAAAATATACCAGTTGAGTTTTGATTCCCCCGTTAGATGTTGATTCCTCTCTAGTATAAGTAAAATTTCCACTCATCGAATAGATAGTTAAATTGAGGATGTGTTTTTAGGGCACAGATAAAGCTACTAACACCTCTTGATTTCATTGGCCCCCCACGGGAATTGAAGTATACGAGTTAAAAGAAGTATTCCGACGAATGCAGAGATACATAAATTGCTATCAACTAATAAGGGTCTAATGCTCTAGTAAGTTTCCTATTATGCATACATGTTGATAAGGTTAGAGCTCTTTTATGCTATTATTGACCTTGTAAGTTCACTTATGATCCACTACCTAAGATTGAGATCATGTTAGATTTTCTATGTTCATGGAGTTCTATGATTGTGAATAGTGTTTGCTTGAGAACAAGAAAAGTTCAAGTGTGGGGTATTTCTAATGACACTCAAATTGTAGTGTTTATCACCTCTCATATTTGATACATTTCCCCTTATATCTATACATCTTTAGTATCTTTTTATATACATGGATTTTATAACTATTTGTCAATGAGTTTAGGGCGGACCTAGGTTGTATTTTAGTATCTTTTTATGTCTTTTTGTATTGTTTTGTTCTTTTTAAGGTAAAATGCAATCTAGGATTAGATCACATATTTGATCAAGTTGGAGGATCAAAGGGGAAGTTACAGAAAGATCAAGGAGGAATTTAGATATCAAATGAGTTTCAATCAAGCCCAAACCATTAAACTCCTTATATGTTCTCAAGAAAAGCCCACTGGAGAAGTTTCAGCCCCATAAGTAGTGCCCAAATCTGATGGAGAGGTTACTTGTGGGCCAAGCAACCCAATGCAGGAAGAAAACCCGCGGCAGTTCTGATCGCCGCTAGCTGACTCGCTCGAAACTACACCACAATTAAACCCCAATTAGAG